GTCCATCCTGACTTTTCTAACACCTCCTCTGCAGATACCCCTGTATCTGATTATACCTGATTATCCTTAGTTGTCCTAGCCCTCATTGGCATTTTTGTGGTTGTGTTGCTTTTATTATTTCTAGTGTAATTATTCATAAGGTTTTGAAATTTATTTTAATCCATTTAATCTACTTTTGGTGCCTTTACCACATAAATATGCTTTTTTGTAGAAAATGAATTAATTAATACACTCATAAACATATCATTTTCAGAACTTCTAAGCCTCTTTCTTATAAATGTGCAAAGCCCAGAATAAGTTTTTAAAAAATTAAAGAGCGAATGATATGATATGAAAGATAGATAGATAGTAATCTCTGGTTTACTTCTGTTCATGTAAACAATACTTGGTGGATTGCATCAGTCTTCACAAAAAAAGTAATTATAGCACAACATACCAAAAAAAAAAAATACTGCAAAAGACAAACTAGAAACAAAAATTAAAATAAGCAAGAAAATGGCAAGGGAACACCTATCCAATCTTGACGAATATAAATCACTGGGGCCTGACAGATTACATCCCAGAATTCTGAAGAAGCTGGCAAATGTTATCTCAGAACCGTTGCACCACATCTTTCATAAATCCTGGAGCACCAGGGAAGTACCTGATGATTGGGAAAGGGCTGATGTGGTTCCCATCTTCAAGAAAGGGGAAAAAAACAGACCCAGGAAACTACAGACCAATCAGTCTAACATCAATATCTGGAAAGATCCTAGAAAAGATAATCAAAAAACAGTTCTGCGAGCAAATCGAAGCAAACAAAGTTATAACTAGTAGCCAGCACGGGTTTGTTAAAAACAGATCATGCCAAACCAATCTTATTTCATTCTTTGGTAAAGTGATCAGATAGTAGACCGGGGAAACGCTGTGGACATAGTATACTTAGACTTCAGTAAGGCATTTGACAAAGTAGACCACAACCTGCTGCTTAGTAAGCTAGAAAAAGGTGAGATAGACAACAACAACATCAGATGGATTTGTAGCTGGCTGACAAACTGTACTGAATGAGTAGTCCTCAATGGTACTACATCCACATGGAGAGAAGTAAGCAGTGGGGTACCACAAGCCTCCGTCTTGGGCCTAGTACTCTTCAATATCTTCATCAATGACTTATATTAGGGAATAGAAGGGGAACTCATCAAATTTGCAAATGACACTAAACTGGCAGGAATAGCCAACACCCCAGAAGACAAGCTCAGGATCCAAAAAGATTTTGACAAACTTGAACAATGGGTACTATCCAACAAAATGAGTTTTAATGTGCAGAAAAGCAAAGTTTTACATTTAGGCAGGAAAAATCTCCTGGCTACCCTGGCTACCCTTGCAGGAGAGTTTACTGACTGCGAGGCTCAACCTCAGGGTGCTTGGAGGTAGCCAGAGACCCACGGAATTCAGGGCCTGCTCGGTCCTGGGGTAGGCTACTCCTGCCTAAGCGTAGGCCTTAATACATTTCTCACTGAAAGGAAAGGGAGAGTTAGATAGTGAATGTAATGATTGTATAACCGTGGATCTCTATGACTCTGAGATGTTGACCTGTTCTCTTCACATCTATTTCCTGCCTGTAGATAAACTCAGCAGGGAGCTGCCTCTTTTTTCTTCCCATTTATGATGTCCTCGCAACCACATAGGTAGCAGATACTAAAAACTGCACATTTTGATAGAAATCAACCTTTTGCTTTTTGATCAGTAAAGCTGTTTTGTAAATTGTCTTTAAAATCTTTCACATAATGTGTGCTGTTAACTTTTTCAACAGCCGATCTTGGGCTGGTTTTGTCCTTCCTAATTACATTTGACAGAGTGGTTTATTTGGGCTTAATCTGATGCTGGGAATAAGTTCAAGAGCTAGTAGGAGTAGAGGAACAGAGGTAAAAGAAGGTGCAGGTTGACAGAATGGGAAGATACAAGTGCAAACTACTTGGAGGGCAAATTTCTAAAACTCTCTGAATGATGTACACGGGGATGCAACCATATGATGCTGGCAAAGATGGTGAAGTGGCATTCAGAGAAGCAAATAAACAAAATTTTTGGCCTTATGCATCATTTGCATAAGGAGGTAGATTTTTCCTAAGTTGTTCCAGAAATCAGGACCAGAAAAAGAAAACAACTTCAAGCAAGGAAAAGGAAGTAGAGATCAGTTGAACATCAGCAAACTTATCTCACTAGTGGAACAGATACTCCGAAGGGGCCCCTGCTTGCATTACTGGGGCTGCCCTTGAAGAGTTTTTGGGAGCTTCAAATAATTTATTTTAAATTATTTTTCTTATGTGTATTAAATATTACCTATATTGTAAATCACCTTGGAGGGATGTAGAAAGTAAGAATAAGACATAGGTAGTTTCTTTGTGAGTAAAGGTACAAAAGGATTTAAGTGATTGGAAAAAGTTACAATTATCGCTGCTGGGGAGAATCTCAGCAGTAAAAATGAATATTCTTCCAAAATTCCTTTTCTTGTTTCAAATGATCCCTATTTTGAAAAAAGATGCTAATTTGGATATTTGGCAGAAGGGGATCAATACATTTATCTGGGCTGGTAAAAAACCAAGAGTCAAGTTTAAAATTATACAAGATGCACGGGAAAGAGGAGGACTTAAGGCACCAAATTTAAAATTATATTATGATGCGGTGGCTTTAACATTTATTAGTGATTGGCTTAACTTAACTAATAAAGATATACTTTTACTTGAGGGATGGGATTTATTATATGGTTGGTATGCTTATTTAATTTATAATAAAAAAGTAGATTAAGTTTTTAAAGCTCATATTTTAAGAAGTGCTCTATTATGAGTATGGAAGAAATATTATTATAGATTAAATTATAAAATTCCCATTTGGGCGATTCCAGGACAGGTGATAGAAGGGGTATCTAGAGGAATTAATTTGGATAATATTACTTATAGGGAATTACTTAGTCTGGTAGGAAAGGATTGGCAAATTAAATCCTTAGCAGATTTGAAACAAGAAAATATTGTATATTCTTGGTTTTATTATAACCAATTGTTAATGAGTTGGAATCTAGACCAGAAGGTCGGTATTACTTTGGAGGATA